TGGAATCAAAAGAAGTAATGAGTAAGAAATTCTCATCATTTCTTATGCTTCGAAAATTTCACAGATGAAATGAAGTTGAGCTAGATAGTATGGAGTAGACATCACAGAAACCACTGCTTGAAATACCGATTTTCCTCATGGACATACATTCCTCCTTCTTAAAATTTCCGGTATCATTTACGCATACCTCTATCCTTCACGCAATTTCTTTCGTAGACATTATACGATTTAGTTACATTTTGGCCTCCGGTTAGAGGAAATCAACGCAACTAATCTCTTATCTCGTGGGAACATAGATTCCGTTAGACATATTACACGCAAGCTATATGTGCGAGCTGAAGAACTGATGGGACAAGTGGCAAGACATAATATGTCTGTGACTTGCGCATTGTATTAAAACATACTTCTTCGTTCCTATTCTTAATTCGTAGCTCTTTGGAAATTGATTAGAAAGAGCTCTCGTCTTAACAAGTTTGATAATACGATATTCTTGATCTTTGGTAATGCCAGATTATTTGACTCTATAACACAATAAAATGACTACGTAAGTGTTATTTAATCTATTGTAAGGATAAAAAACTCTAAACAAAACTATATGCGCAATTCTGTAAATATATTCAATGATTAAAAATATACTTGAAAAACATACGAAAGAATATGAATAATTTATTATTTTTAAATAAAGTATGCTTCAAAAATTACTACTTACTTCGCACACCCAGCTGTTTAAATTTATAGTACAGAACACGCAGCTAATGCTGCAGAGATAAACTACACTCTGTCAATTTCACAAATGTGTTTACCGCTTCAGCAGCCTGATGTCATGTAGCATTATTTAAATCTTCTTTCCTCGTCACCCTGCATTTATTTTGTCATGCTCACATTTAATACATTTTGCATTACGACCGTTTCACTTGACTCTTTTTTACCTAAAGCAACTTCGTCGCCTTAGTACTTTTAAAATAACTTCTGCTTTTAAAATTCGGATGCTTGTTTGTAGGAGAATCAATATTTCCTTTTTATTAAGTAGAGCTTTGCTTCGTAATATTGTCGCACGAATTTTGCTAAGCTATCTGTAAAGTTATATTTGCTCTTTAACTTCTGAAAAAAATGTCCTCTTTTGAAGCGAATTTAGCTTTTAGATATTTTCCAATGTTTTGCTCATAATATCTGCTCACTGCATGAATGCCACGGATACACGTACGCCTGGTTCCCACCTCTCCGGTTGCAAGATCTAGACGTTTTAGCTATCATAAAATGTAACTAGATCTACTTCAGTTTTGATCCTTGCGAATTCTTGCTTAGGTTTGAAGATGAACACAAACATGGGAAGGGTGTAAAAGACCCTTTTGCTGAACATAATATTATTTACAGACCGCACGGACTTACGTGCTTACAAACACTGACCACATGCGGTGAGAGATTAAAGGGTAACATTTAGCTAAATTTTAAGCTAAAGAATAGTGCGAGACTACACAATTCAGTTTAAGCTAACAGGCTGACTCAGAAACTACACCGGCAGAATAATAACTCGGCGGCAAGAATGCGTAGCTGATGTTAAGATTAACAGCTGGAAAAAAAAATAGTAACGCGGGCTCACAATAGCGAAATCACGCTCTGCCTAACCTTTCGCTCCAACATTTTAAATACTCTCGTTCACCCTAACTCATTTACATCGCGGCGAGGAGACGAAACGGGAATAAGAGAAATCAGGAACGTATCACAAATTAAAATAACTATTACCCTGCACTGTTTCTAATGCAAATCTCAGGGCTCCGGTTTTATGAACTGAATCCCCGGTTTGGTACATGAATTATGTTATGATTTGATAAGTCGCGTCTACCTTTCATGATGAGAGAAGTGACAGCCTTGTAATATTTTTTGCTCGGCTCGAATCGGAACTATTAGGAATACAATTCGTATCATTTGCTTACCCCCTGTGGCAGCTGCGGCTGGAGTGCTGTTAGGCAAAATGCTAGACAAATGTGGCCTTTAACACTAGTGATTTTAGTATCATATAATACATGATGACAATTGTGGCTCAAATTAACAATAAAGTTATTGGCATTAAAGCTATCCATCAGTTTATTGTATATTAATCAATATTGTATTTACAGATTGAGCAAGTGCAATCAAAGGTAAATTTATTTATCATTAAATTCTAATCAAATATAATATATTAAAAACTTTTAGTAATATATAATACAAATATATTAATAATTTAATGTAACAAAATTAACTATTTTAGCTTAAAAATAACGAGTTTTGAGAATTATGTAATTTATTTTTACTTTTTTTTATTATTAGTTTTAATATTTTCGTTGCTAAGAGGAGACACCTGTACATATATTGGGTATCATTTGGCAATGCCGAAATACTGGCTCCCAGATTATAGGTCTTTTGAAATGTTTTAAGATTTCAGATACTGAAAAATAATGTTTAAAACGTATGTAATACTTTAATAATATTATAAATCTAACTACATGCAACAACATACAAAACGGAGTAGCTAGTTAGTCCTACCTCTTTTTTTTAAATAAATATTTTCATTCTCGTTTCATGTTTAATGATTTATTTATATGTTTGTTCTCGTTCCCCTTTTCCGAGTATTGATCTCAACACTATCTGAAATATTGTGGAATATCATCAAATTTTAGATTTAGAGACTTATTCTTCGAACAGTTAAAAAAATTAAGGCTAAATGGAAAATGGAATCTCACGTTTTTATATGATCACTGTCATTAAAGAGCGAAATTTATTCTTTTGCTAACAATTACTCGTATTTAAGAAGCAGTGTAAAATTCTTCTTAGCATTTATGATTTTCATGATATTATTCTGCTATGAATTTGTAATATCTAGTCTTCTTGGTTAACATACACTGTTACTGGACCTACTTGAAAATCTGTCTAGCGACTTATCGTTAAGACTAGAAGATAAATACAACAGGGAAAGGGTGTAAAAGACCCTTTTATTGAACTCAATTATTTACAGACGGCAGAGTCTTTGTCCTTACAAATCCATCATCCACTTGTGGCAATAAAACTAAAGATAATGGTAAACTTAACTAAATTTAAATGTAAGCTAGTAGTTCAAAACTACACAAATTAATTTAAACTAGCAGGTTGACACAAACATCTACACCAGCATGATATTAAACTTCGGCGGCAAAAATACGAAGCCTTGATTCAGAATTCAAACAGCTGGTGGAAACAACAACGTGCGATCTCAATAGCGAAAACACGCTCTGACTAAGCTTTTCGCTTAGTTGAGTTGAAACACACTCTCTTTCACCCTAACTCATTTACATCCCGGCGAATAAACGCAAGGGAAACCAAGAACGACAGAGAAGGTCTTACAAATAAAGTAACTATTAGTAAAATTAATATAAACCTTATAAATTCCTATACTTGATAGCAGTCCGAGACACTGAATCTACGCGCTCGAATACACCAGCTTCCTTTAATGCAAAAAGTGGATTACTCCAATGAAAAGTACTTCACTATTTAATTTTGGAAGAACTTCGCTCAATGTGGGTTCTAACCACGAAAGAAGAGGTCCGATTTCCTTTTTCTGCATTAAATTTCTGAACAATGAACAAAAATTCCATTGCATTTAGTTCCAGCATTAATAAACATAAAAACTGACTAGAACTGTGAAATTTATTTTAAAAATTTTACAGTATTCGCGACTATATTTGTAATTGTATGTAATTATAGGATGTAGTTTTCATTGATAGATTTATAAGCTTTAAAGCGAATAAAATATAAAAATTAAAAAATTAATGGAAACAAAAATAAATTCAATGTTGTGTAAATTTAAAACAGCATTTGTTTAAAGCAAATGCTGATTAATGAATACACATAGATAATGTCAAATAATTCATTAACAGAACTTTCTACCTAAAGCACAGTCTTCGAAACAGATTTATATAAGCCCAATCAGCACTCTAAGTAAGGCTGACAAACCTACTTCCCTTTTTATCTTGCTCCTGGCTCACTAATTAAGGAAAGATTTAATTGCCCAAAAGGATAATGTACCCCAACCTCCTCAAGTACTAAGCATTATATAATTATAATTCCATTTGCTTTCTCCTTTGTAAATCAGTGGTAAAAATTTCTCTCATTTTAATGAAAAGGTATGTTCTGAAGGTACCTGTAATAGGCAAGATTTTTATTTTTGCTTTTTTGCATTTACCGAGATTACACGTATATACTTATAAAGTTTGAATTACATAATTAAAATAAAAAACTATCAAAAATATTGAAACTTTCCCTTGGCAATATTAGAAAATATTTTGCTGTTTATTTTTAACATTAAAGAGACACGGGTGAGCAGTTCTTTGAACAAGCGGAATTACTGTTACTAGGAATATCTTGTTTCATTCAAAAGTTAATTTCTGCCAGTTTTTCTTTTCTTATTTCACTCTATGTTTTACTGCAGCAAGTTAAAGTAACTTTACAAATATTTTTTTTCTCATCTCAAAAATTAAAATTATTCGTTCAAAGTTTGATGATAGATTTTAGCTGAGGCAAAGCACGCAACAACTATCAACTACGGGAAAAGTGCGTTCGTTGAAGACTTTCTGAAGGAAAGTGACTCGTATTTACGTTTCACAGAAGGAAACTAGAAAAACGCCCATGCAGCTCTGTCGTTCGTTATAACTGGAACCCAAATCGAATTTTAGTGTTCAGTAGTTTTATCGACTTGGCTACTATTGGCCTTGCCCAGTATTCGAATCTTAGGCCATTAGCATACTAAACCAAAGTTTACATGTTAATAGGCTAAGGTTCGTTGTATTAGCATATTAACTCTGAGCTATATGTATAAGTATATGTAACTAAGCTATATGCATAGAGCATTAGTATATTAATCCAAAACAACCTTTTACAAACTTTTTCCGTTTTATAAATATTAATTGTAACCAGCTGCACTGACATGCATTTCTGTCAGATTCCCTACTAAATTAATAAAAAATTTAATTACTAAATTTATCACATACTTTTTTCCATATTTTCTGCTGGGGATAGTGTTAAGTTCGTTTTAATCCTCTCATTAACTTGTATTCGTTCTCATTATAACAATAGTTCAGCAGTTCGAAGCAAAGTTTATTCTTCTTAACACTGCAGTTTTAGGGCAAAAATAATTTTGTTTCTGTTTATATACCGCTGAAATAAACCTAAAAGCAGAAGTTAAACTTCTTACTCTGCAGGTTTTTTTTTTTTTTTTTTAACTTAGCAGCAGCTGAAGTTACAGTCTCCAGGTACAGCAAACACTTTATGCGATGATCAATAAGGAAGAAATTTCAAACTTGAAAACACTTCGCTAAAACTAACTTCCATTGATCATTGGCGCTTTTCTGCAAGGCTTTTTTACCCCCATCTAGTTTCTCATTCGCAAATTCTTTGTTATCATGTGTTAGTAAGAGTTATAAGAAAGGTAATTCAAATTAGAGCTCTTTAGGAAAAAGATAAATATTGCGAAATTTCAAATAAAGAAGTATCTAAACATAACTAGTATCTAAACATAAGTATCTAAACATAACTAGAACTAGAGCAAATCGATTAAACATTTTATTGATATGAGAAAAATGTTTGGAAATGGAATTGTATCTACCGCTATATCGACATATTCTTATCATGTGTTAGTAAGAGTTATAAGAAAGGTAATTCAAATGAGAGATCTTTAGGAAAAAGATAAATATTGCGAAATTTCAAATAAAGAAGTATCTAAACATAACTAGTATCTAAACGTCAGAAGTATCTAAACATAACTAGAACTAGAGCATTTTATTGATATGAGAAAAATGTTTGGAAATGGAATTGTATCTACCGCTATATCGACATATTCTTGGAGAAAATATCTTTGGTATATCAGAAAGTAGACGATTGCTATATGGCAGAGCGTATTAAGAATCATTATACTAATTTTCATTCATAACGAGTTTCTCTCAATTGACTATTTTTCTCCGAGAATTGCTAATACCTTCGATGTAATGCTCTAAAGATAAACAAATATTTTTCAGTGCACTAATAAAATGTCATTCGCTTAACATAAATTCACAGAAACATTTACAAGTAAGGAACAGGCTCACCAGCGGCCGAGCGGTAAAGTCACTAATCACTGGCAGTTTGACCTGGCTTCGATTTCATTCCAGGTGAATGGGCGTTTTCATGGTTCTCCTCATGTGTAACGTAGATAAAGCCAGGTTCCCATAGAAAATCCTTGACAAAGGCATTATTCTCCTTAGGCAGACAGCCCTAGCCTGCTTTCCCATAGTCAAATAAACCAAACCAGTTAGGAACAACAAAAACGGGATTTCAAAAAACTGATTAATCTTCATAGATACGATGCGATTAAAAATTTTTCGTTCGACACTACTTACCTTCATTGGTATGACGTCTATCAGCAGCAAGCCAATATAAAGGCAATGACGTACTATTAGTAAATTCTTGAAACTAATCCTTGTGCCTTGGGTTCGATCCCCGCTGTACAGCTAGAAAGGTAGCTGTATGAATGTTCCTTGGTTTTTCCTTTCTGCAAAGGCTAACTAGTGGTCAAGTGGCTGAAACTGAGAAACTGGCAGTTCATTCAAGATCTTGGCGGCTAACTGAACATGGACTGAGCTTAAGATATTTTTCAAAGCAATCTATGTGCTGTGGATGGGATGCGTGGCATACAAACTGACTTCACTTTTTCTATTAAACATGTGCTAAGTGAATAAATGTGGTGCTTTTTTATTTATTGCTCACACATAAAGCGAGACTATGACATTCTACACTATGTTATTGTGGTACAGTAAGCTGCTGTAAAATAATGCCTTGATTATCCCTCTTATAATTGTCATCCCTGCTGCATTGCAACGCCCTTTCCATAGTTCCAAAATTTCAAAGTAAAAGTTGGACGTGCATAATGAGCTATCTGTTGCTTACAATCCAAATGTGTCTTAGTATGAGTTTTAATCTTGCAAATGTTTTTAAAAAGTCCATTAAAACATTTTCTGAATTGATAACGGTCCCGATCAAATGATGGTGTGAAAAAGGGCTTTATAAGCCTTTTTAAAGCAGTAGATAACATTATTGTACTAAAAAGGGCATCAAAGGGCATCTTCATTCGTCAAAAGGACAACTAGTTTAACGACAATGGTCTCTTCTTTAAGATATAGAATCTCTATCTGCTTATAGAGGTCACGAATGCAAACCTTTTAATCACCATTTGCTCTAACATATTAACATTAAAAGCGTTCTTAAAGAACTCTTCCCAAAACTTGTATTACTCTACCTTTCATTTCTCATCCATTCGACTTCTGAATTTTGCGACGGATAAGATCAACATTAATTTAAATTACTTTCGGGTGACCTCGCAAATAACCAGTTCTTAGAGTGTTGCTATTCGGCGAAGCATCAGATTTTCAATTTATCTTTCAAATTAAATCAGGCTGCAATTACATAAATAAAGCGAGAAATTTCAAAGCAATAAGCACCCTTCTTTAACAATTTAAATTTTTATTTAGTTGTTAATAGTAGAGCTAACTGAAATGATTTTAAGCACTTTTATGATATAACCAAGCTATATTTGTTTTGAACATTTGCTGAACTGCTATTAAAACCTGTGAAGGTTTAACATAGTGACCTCTATAAAACGTCTTTATCAGAAGAGGAATGGTTAAAATCATGGAAAACTTTTATTCGTCCCAGGTTCGGACCTCATAAAGAGCAGTCGTGGTACTTAGGAAGTAAATAAAAGCAAAAAATGTCTGTTGCATAAGCATCTTCTTTATTTCAGTAGCAGTAGAAAAACCTATCAAAAACATAAACCTTTTCACTTATAACAACTATGTTGGGATATATCTAATTCTTAACAAGTCCAACATCCTTGGGAAATAAACATGAAAACTATACACACGAAAGCCAACTTAGCGAGTTATCGCTGCTAGCTACTTCTGAAAACTATCAGACAAAACGTATTCACTTTACGTTGCTTACTTCTTATTGCGCGGGTTAAAATAAAATGTTACAGAACAAAGCTTCAGTCATCTTGACTTGGTAATGAAACGAAAATAGTTCTTGAAATTTACAAAGTTAATAGACTGTAACTATGGATCGACAACTAACAACTGCTAGAAATTTTCACTTACCAAACAACTATACCTTCAGCCCCTAGTCTTGCACGTGGCAGTAGGTATTCGCAAAACAGCAAGCTGTGTTAGCAGGCAGCGAATTTTAATTCAAACTGTCATACACTTACGAGCTGTTCCTCTAACTCAGGATTTCTTAAACTGTGAGTCGCGGGACCTGCAGCAGGGGGTCGCAAACAATTTTAGCAGTTTGGGATATTTCTTTGGGTACTATTCAGTTTTGAAGATCGTAAAAATAACTGCAGCGAAAATGTATGCGCAAAAGCGTCAAATTTAACAGCGCCAAATCTAGCGTACGCGCTGATTTCAGATTGCGTAAGTTTATATAAGTTTATATAGTTCTATATTTCTAAAGACGCCATTGAAATACTAGTTTAATTTTTAAATCCTTTTTTGCTATCGTATGGATTTAACAATTTGGGAATTGCTCATGATGAAAGTCTGCAATAGAATTTTGGGTAAAGTGCAGAATCACCACTCTGCACGTTTTTAAGAATTACTCAGTATACATGTACACATCGACCTATTTTCACTTTTAAAAAAATCCCAAAATTGCACAAAAATGGCACTGCGTACACGCCCTTGACTTATCTATGTACACATCGACCTATTTTCACTTAAAAAGTAAAAGAAAGACAAAAATCTAATTGTTTTTACCCTTGTAAAAAACGGCAAACAAATAAGTGGACGATTCTGCACTTTACCGAGAATTTTTTCATAGAATAGGCATCATTCATTATAGAAAATTATGTTTGAACACCAACGAGATGAAATTATGCTTCAACGATAACTCGGTAGAGAAATGGCGATGCAGGCATCAATTCAGTTATGTTCAGCAATTTTTATATAAATTATAAAAATGATCTGAAATAGTTATTTACTCTCATGTTTCCATTCGGTCATGTTTAGCCTTTTTTATATAAATTATAATAATTAAAAAAAGTATTATACGAAATTAACATTTCATCTAAATTAATACACCAATCTTAAATAGTTATTTACTATTATACTTCCTTTCTTGCGTTAGGGTTGCCGTAATTATTTTTGGCAGCACTGGCATCAATAATAGTTTGGCGATTTTTTACGGCTCTCAAAACCAAATAGTACCTTTCTTTGACTTAGAATAATTGTACAATTACCAAATGTTTTCACATAATGTATCTGAAAATAGATAAATATAAGGCAAAACGGACAAAGAAAAAAACGAAAACGTTTCGTCGCATTCTTTTTATAATATAAACGTTCATTTTCCTTGCTTTGCACGTGACGCTGTCATTTCGTCTGTAACTTATTTAAAATTTTTGCATTGTTCTAAGTCTTAAAATTAGAAATTAAAGTTAATGACCTAAAACTGCAATTATGGTGTAATATCAATTGAATGGTAATACCTAACTTTGCAGCAATTGCGCAAGTAGTAGAATTACTCGATTTCGCACTAAGTGAATTTAAGATCATACAACATTTCATCTAACATTATGTGCACTGATCAACAATACATAGAATATAAAATTCATATCACTGACAGTATTAATGCCAATATTGTATGTGGTAATATGTGAATATGTTCAACATCAGTAACTTTTCTCAGAGTGTTTCAAGATAGAGCAATATGACATCTATACTAGGTAAATCTCAATCAAGAACAATTTGTGTATTTATCAGAGTGAACATAAACAATAAAACAATTCAAAATACAAGTAGAAAGGGGTTGCGTTGTGTTATTAACTATCGGGCAATAACCCGTTCAATTACTATGGTCCAGTGTAAAAAATTTAATTAAAATTAAAACAATTGGCAATAGGTAAGAAAAACAAACTAACGTTTATTCATGGAGATTATTCATAATAAGTTACAATACAGATAATGCCAGGATAAGAACAATATTCATTTTTAATATTAGGAGGTTGCTTGTCAACATAATTAGAAGTTCAACTATATAAAAAAGCATACCTTTAAATTAATTTAGGTGG